CTGAACTTGCTTCAAAGGGGATGCAAAGGCAGACTCTGACGTGCCATCGTGTAGTGGCAGTTTGAGAGCCAGAGACAAATCTTGTACCTCTTAGAGACCTAGTGCAGACTTCTGTTTCTGATAGAGTGTGACCCTTGCAACAGCACCTTTCCTTTATTGTGCAAGGTGAGCACGCATCTGAGAAGTTCATAGTGCAGTCTGGATCTTCTACAGCACAGACCTCACAGTGCAGAAGGGCTCCTGATCCTGTCACCAGCCACGCCTGACAGATCCCATCTCTTCAAGAGGACTGGCTTAAACTGTACGGATGGGTGACTGTGCATTGGAACAACAGGCAGTGATGGTGCAAGGCACGTTGAGACTATCAAGGCTGTTGGTCAATATTGACCTGCTGAGTCTGCCAAAAGCAAGATGTCCTCACAGCAGAAAACTCCAAGCTTTAGCTGTGTGCTAGAGGAGTGTTCCTGAAGCCCAAGGGTCGCGGCATTGCAGCTTGGTGACTGGCAGAACCTGCGTGTATCAGACGATGCCCGTTTTGGTCAGCCACACAAGCACGTACCCCTCCCTGTCTCCTCGCGTTGTCCCTGTGCTGCCATCCCTGAGGCAGAGGCACCGCTGTGCTCGGTGGCTGGATGACAAAGTGACAGCGCTGGGATGGCAGAGCCTCCATCCCTCTGCAGCTGCAGCCTCCCTGATGGCAGCAGCTCAGGGAAGCAGCAGTGTGAGCAGGCAGGTGGGTGCTGACAGCCTGTCACCTGCTGATCAGGCTCACGCAGGGTGAGCGTGCAGGGACAGACGTGAGAGGAGAGCTTTTTCCCAAGAACCATCTCCCAAGGAGCTGGCCCCTGCAGGGATAGGTGTAGAGGGTGTATTGCTTCCTTATGAGGCTGTTACTGTCTGATCAGACAGCATCTTATTAAACAGATCTTATTCTGTCTGATATCAGAACAGCATTTCTTTTCAACTGCATTCCTTTTCAAGCTCTGTGAGCAGCAGTAAAATAGTAATTCTAGAAGAAAACTAAAGGAATTGGATATTGCTGTACTTAATAATAGAGATGTTCTGATCTGGGGGTGACTTCAGAGAGCAATTCAGCATCTAGAAGTTCAACCCATGCTTTTGGTCGACCAAGACTCTCCCAAAAATGCGTTCCATTTCCCCCCAGCATTTCACCTCTGCAATGGCTGTTTTCCTTTGACCCAACACATTTTGTTAGCTTACTTCAGAGACATCTTTTGGAACTGCCTCTTCTGTTTTGTCTTTTATCTATTTCTCTCTCAGATTCTCTTAACTCCTTTGTCCTTTTAAATAATAAATGCATAAATCATTCTGAGTTAGACGTTTCCTTGTTCTCCCATTCTCCTTTGCATTCTCCTGTCTTGACTGACAATGGCCGGAGTTTTGCAATTGGGCTGCTTCTCTTTTATAAAAACCTAAGATTTTGTTATTGTTGTCTCAATTTTGCAGATTTCCCAGGGTTCCTCCATTTCCTCTGCATGGTTCTGATCTGTCCCTAGTGCTTCACATGCAGATGCTGCTCTTGTGAGATTATTTTGTCAGTCATTCGTACAGAGTGTGCTGTCAGGGGAAGTAAAGGTTGTCTCATGAAGTCAGAGGGCTGTATCTATTCCATATCTGTGACAGGGGGCTTAGAGCAATGCTACCAAGGTAAGGTGGTTGCATGATGGGAACCAAGTTTTAGCTGAAATTATTGATATTAGTCCTTAAATCTGTGACTTTGCGCTTAAAAGTCTTTGTTTTCAGCAAACACTTCCATCTCTTTCTCAGTTTTTAAGAGCCATTTGTCTGAAAACATGTTTCTGCTTTGAGGATTTCTAAGGGTAAGGAGGAAAAGTTATTGATAAATAGGAAAAGTGCCTTTGTACAGTTGAAAATGGTTTTGGGGTGACTGTAGAGGGTAGCAGCAGAGCTAAGGCACGAGAGTACCTGGTGGGTTAGGATGCACAGCCTGTTTAGGGGACAGGCTCCACCAGCCTGTGCACTGACATTTTGTGCTTTCACAGTAGAGCCAGAGGGCAATGAAAGAGACACCAGGAGCAGCAGATGAATCATCCCAGTGTTGTTCCTCACTGTGGAAAAGCCTCTTCCTGGATTCATTTCTTCATTTACTCCATCCATGGTACGCAGGCAGTCACCTGGTTGGTTAAGCTTTAGGAAGGAAGGATACAGGAGGCAGACTAACCAATGTTTGCCTTGCATGCTGATTCTTTCATTCATTTCTCTTGGATACATGGGAGTCTGATTTGTGTTACCTGAGACATGCTAGTGTTGCATAAAACACAAGTTCTAATACTCCACAGCAATGAATTGCATTAATCTGTTGGACAAGACAACAAAAAAGCACTATGATAAGGTAGAGGTGTTATAGGGTATGAAACAATAGCACAAAAATACATGCTGCTTTCACTTCATGCTCTGCTCTGTATGCCAAGCAAATCCAGTGACACATCTTCTGTCAGTGCACCACTGATGGTTACTCAAAGATGCAAAAAGCAATCCTTCAGCCATGGTTCTTAATAAAACCTCTTCCCCTAGCAGTGCTTCCTCTTTCATCTTCATATCCTCTTTCTATAGAAAGCATCCAGGATGAAACCCAGCAGATTCATATGAAAAGGCTGCAGACTGGAAAAACCCTTCCTCTCTCTGACACTTGAAAAGCACCTGGAAGCTGGGGGGTTTGCTGCCCAATCGGCACTTAGTTGGCTCTTTAAAAGGCTTGTTTTGTGTCTCTGTGGCTTCGATTTTATCAGATAGTTCTTCCCTGTGTAACAACCATCGCTATAAACGCAGCCCTCCTGCAGCAGTGTTTTCATCCGTGTGCATACAGGTAATTTTCAGCACAGAACTCCTCTTGTAAGTTGTGCCCTGCAGAAAGCTGATGGTGGCACTCAGAACCCCAGACTGGAGTGCATATGGCAAAACGCAGGCACTGAAGTGTGTGTTTATGGCTAGGATTGCAACGGGATGAATAAAGAGGCACTTGCGGAACCTGCTGTTCAGAACAAGGACACCCTTAAGCATGTGAATCCTAGGCTTGAGGAATGAGCTCTTCCTAGCTCATAGAAGCTCAATGGATCTGGATAGCCAGGAGGAGGGATGCAGGCTCAAACAATGAAAATACAAGACAGGTTACAGCTTGACCCCTGGGCAGCGTGTGAAGTGCATGATTCCATTATTGATGGGGACAAAGTTGCTCTGTCTGTATCCCGTGCCTGCTCTGCAAGTGTGCATCCCCACACCACTCTCCCCTCACCTCTTACAAATCCCATTCTTTAGTTCATGTATTTGTAACTGCAAAGGCAATGATCTTCAGCTACTGCAGGCAGGAGAATGGGGACTGTAAATTGTAATGGGCTGCTCTGTATGGGCTGGGCAGCTTGAGCAAATTGCATTGCTTGATTATCCTGTCTTTTTCCCCATCAAAATCGGTTAGTGCTGAGAATGCCAGGGCTTGAGTGGAAAAGGGAAAAACAAACAAGGGAGGGGGAGCGTGCCTTTGTTTCCTCCTAATGCGTCTGTTCCTTCTGTTTGCTTACAAAGAGGGGCATGCCCATCTGACAGCATCATCAATATGACCTTTCTCTATGAGCAGGCAGAAGGAACAGATGCATCGGGAGGAAATGGAGACCTTTTTTCTCCATGTAAGCATTGCTGCTCTGGATACCAGCAGGTATGAATTAACAAAGAGGTGCCCCTTGTGCAGTTTGCCTGTGGGCGGGCTCACCTCACCCTCAGCACTGCTTAAAAGGCAGAAACAGGCCACCTATAGTAGTGGCACCTAGTTGTGACAGCAGCGAGCGCACTGGGTTTTGATGATGAGAATCCTCTTGCTCCGCCTATAGCTTTCTGTTATCAGCCTTACTTAGGAAGTCAGGTGTAGAAATGGGATTTTGGGTTCGTTTTGGTTGGTTGGTTTTGCTCTTTTTATGCAGAACTTCATGCAGAGAACACCGACGGAAGATGCATTTAGCAGCTTGATATTCTTCCCTTCAGAACGTCTGGGGATTTTCCTGGTGTTCATTCGATGGCATTAAAAATGAATGGGGTGACTAAATCGTTTACAGTTTTACATATTCAGTTAGCATGAAAGCAATTACTGATGTGTATAATTATCTCCAGAATTATTTGGATCATGCAAATGGCATTTAAAGCAACCGCTTGTAGCTGTTTTCCAAGGGATGTCATAATTCATAGTAAGAATAGAACCCTACTCTCTGAGCCCAATATTATTGCCCTTTTGGAATTTCCTTCTCAGATTGTCCTCCTAGAGAGTGATAACTTTCTATTTCCACCAGTTTTCACAGTGCTTCCAGACCTCAGCAGGGGACTGGGTATTGAATAGAGCTTATATCCATCACTTTAATGTGAGTCTTAGGTGCAACAACACTGGGATCAATGCTCAATCCATTATCCTCTGAATTAAGAGGGCCATACTGAGCCAAGTGAGTGGTTTGACCTCAGTCAGTGACTGAAGGTACAGAGGGAATGGTCAAGCATGAACACATGAAAAAGGAGCTTAGATTAAAATGCAGAGAACCTGAGGGCTTGTTGCTGGCTCCCTGAACACCTCCTGCTTTATGAAAGAGGCAGAAGGGATCCAGGAACCAAAGTGTAAAGGCGCAAGCATCTACTCAGGATTGATAAAGTAGGCTCAAAGAAACACCCCTAATCTGAAGCATCACCAGCATGGTTTTGCAGGTGTAACTTTTTAACCCTCCCACATCAAGTTTTGACCTTGTTTGAACCCAGGGATCGTAGCACTTTTGAGTCCTGCCAGACTCAGAAACTATGGCAACTTGTGAGGCTGTGAAGGAGGAAGGACACCCTTATGTGGCTCCTGGGAGGCTGCAGTGGGAGAAATCTGGCCGCAAGCTGTTGGGATGCAGCAAATGGCTTCAAGAAGGGTGAAAGACTGAGCAGAACAGGCAGGATGCAGTCATGAAAACAGACTTACATAATGAAGATAAAGCAGAGATTCCCAGAGCAGATGTGGTTCCCAAAGAATATAATCTGTCTAATGGGTAAAACATGTACTCCAGCACAAGTCTGTATACAACGAGCATATGCTGAACTGATTAAACACAGTTCAGTTAGTTTATTCTACTGCTTTGTTACATGTGCAAATGGAAAAAACATGGTATCTATCTGACAGCGAACCAACAGGAAACTAAAAGTGACCAAACATCAAAGGGGTTTTGAAGGCTGATAAAATAGTTGCCTAGCTTAAAGGCTGACTGCTCAGTGAAGGATCAGACTTCTCAGTTTGGATTCTAGATCAAGTTCTGAGACCATAGTAACTTGCGTTTCTTTGCCTGCAATGGGTCTTAGGGATAACAGCCACAGATGGAGTCCTGATGGGATAGTAACATAAGGTAGAAGTTTGAAACCTTTGACTTGCTCTGCTCTCACTCGCTCTGAATGTGTAATTACTACAGTGCAGTGAGCTGCTTGTGGGTTTGGAATGAAGCAAGTAAAGGTTAAGTTGTGAGAACAAGTGTTTTCATACCATTACATTTAATTATACACTTTGTGTAAGCGAAGAAAGAAGGAGCCTGCTGAAATCTGCTACTACAGTGTTTCATTCATTCCCTGATTCGTGCCCTGATTACTTTTTGTTTGAGTAGACTTTACGTCCTTGTGATATAAAATCACTCGCACAAAAATCCTGTCAAGGAGCTGCTTTCTTTCCTCTCTTCCCTTCAGCAGTACAATTGCCATAAGCTGTTAGGTGACAATTTGCTGACCACAGTGGGTTGTTGTTAGTGGGACACTTTGAGTTACAATTAGGAAGGAATGGATGCTGTAATTGTTAGAGAGGGACGGCTGAAGAAAATCTTAATGCAGCTTCAGGGTGTAATTCTTAGGTCAAAGTCTAGAGCAAGACTCGTGTGTCTGCCTTCCAGAGAGAAGATGAAACCCAGTGGCTTCTGAAAGATGGATCTTACTGGTCTGCAAGAGGCAAGCAGCTCTACAGGCCTGTGCAGCCCTGCTGAAAACTCAGCAGTTTCCCTAGCAAAGTCCTGACACAGCTTTATTTCTGCCAAAAGCCAGTGTTGACACACTGCAGCTGGGTTCCCTGGCAGTTCCCAGGTCAGTGGGCTATTCCTGTGAGGAAGCACAACATATCCAAGCAGCACATTGCTGTTAAAGCTAGAAAAATTTCGTTGTATAAGAGTAGTTTATAGTCTTTATCCAGGTGGTAGTTTTGGATGTAATACACTCTGAACGCATGATGAGGCATAAAGCACACTAATGTTACCAAGATGAAGAAGAAACTCTTTGCCTGAGCCCTGAATTCCACATGGGAGTTGATGTCAGGCCAGTGTTTCACAGCCAGTCTATAGATCACGAACAACTGCATTACGGTGAGCACAGCACAAACTGCCACCAAAACCCCAACCAAGCAGTAGCTGATGATCACCATGTGTGCCTCTTGTATCTCCCTGTGGAACTGGAAGCATTCAGAGGACTGGTATGTCTTAGAGGTGCCGTAGTATGACAGAAGAAGAGGGGTGATCACCAGGGCTCCCACCAGCCAGACAGCACCCACCCAGGCTGTAGCATAGCACCTCCTAAACTCGAGTTGGAAGAGGCGTATTATGATGATGCCCACATAAAACACAAAGGTGGCATACATGTGGATGTAGAGGATGACGCTTGTGAGCTTGCAGGCGAGCCTCCCGAATTTCCACTCCCTCGAAACGTAATAGCTGAGGCGGAAGGGGATGCTGAGCAGCATGAAGGTGTGCAGCACCAGGAGGCTGACGATGAAAACGGTTGTCACAGACTGCGATCGCCGCTGGAATAACTTACGGGACATCATGATGACCCCGAGGGTGCCACCAGCCAGGTCGATGATGTACAGGGCCATGAGAATGGTGTGGAGCCTCTCTGAGGTGTGTGGCAGTGTCTCGTTGGAGGAATGGTTCTGCTGGGTTGCACTGCAGTTCAGCATCCTCCTAAGATCCCCCTTCAAAGGTTACTGAAAGTGAACAATACAGAAACGTGAAGAAGTTGTACCCATAATTTGTTGGAACTTTATGAAGACGCCTGTGACACTCTTTTAGCACCTTCCTGGATGGGTGCAGGGCACCCATAAAGCAGCAGCAGCCTCAATTTCTAGCGTAGAGCACATTAAAAATAAAGAGCTGCAGCTAAAGGTTGAATTTCTTCCTGCTTCAGAAGAAATTGAACTGTTCTGAGTCTTTTTGCTATAGAGTTTCACCTGAGCTATTCTACTGCAAATACCTTGGCTATTCTAAGTTATAACTTAATTTGGGAACAATCTTCTACAAGATATAATCTTACTGGCACTTGTTGGACATAGCCACATACAGCTGCATTCCTATGTAGGCTTAAGGCATAATGTGGACTGATTTCTGTACAGGTGATTTCTGTAACGTGATAGACTGCCACTGCAAAACATTTTCAGAGAAACTTCTTGTGTACGAAGCATCAGGCAAAGCATCCTTAGGCGACCTTTGCAGTGTTGTGTGCGAGACTGATACAACCCTTGCTGTTCGCTCCCTTCTAAAATGCATGATCTTGGAAGCATTTAGATGGTTTAAAATTGTGTATGTGCTGCGTGTCCCTGAGACATGCAGGAGGAATTTGCTTTCCCAGAAACTTGGTTATAATAGAGGTTTCACAAGCTTGAGGAAGATGACTTCCTGCTTCCGGCACAAGTTCACTTTCTGATGTAGATTGTTAATATTTCAAACTGGCTTTCAGAAGGTATAACCTTTTTGCTGCTGTGAACAGCATAATTGCAGCTAAGCTGCCAGCATTTCCTGTTACTCAGAAACACATTATGCTTTTTTCACTATGTCTAGAAATAATATTAAATATTACCTCACAATCTCTTAGTTTCGTGACTTCCTGCTTCTTCTTTGCCGTTTCACACGTCCATAGCATGCAGCATATATAACCAATGAGAAAAGCAGGGCCTTTGGTGTTCCTGTCTGACCGAGAAGGCTGAGGGTTTTCTCAGCCCACAGTCAGGAAGGCACAAGCCTTTTTACTTGCTTCACTGAGATAGCAGTCGCATGTGTTCAACATCTGATACTGTTTTGCTCCTGTGGAGAGAGCTGCTAAAACCTTGCTGAGCTGTCAGAGCCCAGCGCTGTGCTTGGACCTGTAGGACAGTGCCCCCCATCAAGTGAAGAAATCTGCAGCAGAGCAGGGTTTTTCCATTATAAATGCACTTTTCTTCCTCAACTTGTCTTATGTTTAATATTGAAGCTGAATGTGCCAGAATAACAAAGTGTTTAGCAAGGGGTAGCAGATTTCTCTCTAAGATGCTATCAGATGGGGCTACTCATTGTTTAAGTGTTATAAGCAAAATAAGCTTCAGACATATATGAAAAGTGACTTGATAGTTGCTGCTGTTAGGAAAGAAAGACATGCAAAGGCAGAGGTGCTTGGAGCTTGTGCCTGAGCTGCAGGAGTGAATTCTGACCCCAGACTCTTTCATTACTATAAAACAGCTCACTAAGAAGAGGCAAGCGTGGAGGCAGGGCTCTTCTAGAGACACTGAAAAGAAGTTTCTTGAGTAGAAATTAAAGAGAAAGATGTCAGCCCCCCTCTGCTGTGGTGTGAGGATGGTTTCCTCTGAGAGGTTTCTCTCCTATGATTAAGTAAAGTCGTTAGGAAGAATAAGGTGTGAAAGAGAAGTGAATAAACACATTGGACTGAAAAGATCAAAGGTGCTAAAAGTCAGCAAGAGAAACAGAAAGGGTTGTAAGGAAGAGCAAGGATGTGGAGCCTGCAGGATAACTCTGAGGGTGACTGTCTCATCTAGACCGGGATTCAGAGCAGGAGGGATGCCCATTTTGGAGACCGAGGGAGTTGAAACGTGGAATTGCTCCAGCAGACAGAACACTGAGGGAAAAGAGCCAGGTGGATAATGGTACACACCAGATGCGGTTCCAGCATCACTTCATCTCACGTAAGGACAGGCTGCTGCCTGACATGGTGCTTGGATGGCAGAATGATCAGCTGGCTGTGCAGAAACACACAGGAAGGCAAAGCAAGTGACAGACACTGCTGGTTTCGATGGGTTATAATGATCATGAAACAACACTCACAGCCTCTGGGTAGAACAGAGAGATGCCTTGCAGCCTTGTGCTCTGTCCACAGGACCTGAAGTGACCCACCAAGTAATAATGCAGAAGAGACACGAAGAAATTGCATTCCTAAAATGGCTGCTGTGTGACAGCCATCACTGCGGAGCTGACACAGGCTTCGAGATAAAGAGCTCTGTGTACTCCATTTGCTTGCTGAGTCCAGCCGGAGCACTTTGGATGTGAAGTGATGCCAAAAACCCTGCAAGGCTGCTGCACAGATAATTCTCTTGTCACCGCCGGCTGACACAAAAACTGCTGGGGGTCAGAAGCTGCTCTTCTCTATTGATATTTCATACCTTTGGGTTGCTTCGTCCTCAAAATGTTCCTTGAAGGTTGGATGTGGAAGCTGTTCAGCGTGTTAATCCTTCATCTTCACACTCTTCTGCTAAATCTATATATCTCACTCACCTCAACTCTGTAATCTAGGTCTTAAGTTTTAGATTAGTTTCTCTTTTGACTACAAAAGGAAATTAAGTCACATCAGCCTGTTCAAATGAACTTTCAGCTCCTGCTTTTGCTTCTTGCTTCATCAGCACATAGGTTGCCTTAACCAGTGGTGAGAATAAAGGTTGGAAGAGAAATGCACGTATACTCATCAGAGATCCAGGTCAAGACTAGCATCTCAAGTAGACTTAAAGGAAGGAAGGAACTGGGCATGCCAGGTTCAACACTGGAGAAAAGGAAGATGAAGAAGAAAGGTGAAGGTTTAAATTAAGACAATACAATGAAACAGAAGAAGCAGCAGCACTGGTTGAGAGAAGAGGAACAAGGCTTGTTGGATGCTCAGAGACAGGATGTGCCTCTGTGGAAGTGTTGTGGGCTGTACCTATGCGTGGTGTAGGAGTCCCTTTAGGCAGGGGATAGATCTGCCATGGAAGGTGGTTTAGTTTCATTTCTGCACGATTTCCTCTGCTTCCTGTGCCCCTTGGTAAGAAAGTGTTCAGTTTACTGGTCAGTGTAATGGCAACCGAGGTTTCATGTACAGGAGATCAAGAGCTCCTTTCTGTCTGGGAGCGATCATAGATTGTGTGCTTGTGAAAACCTTGTGTTAGGTTTTCAAGTTCAGCTACTTCCAACCTGGGGTCATAGTTGCTGATAACTTCAATTATCTATTAATAACAAAATCTCTATTTTTACTTGCTTATGAACAGAGTTACATATAGGCCAGAGTCAAAAAAGTGAGGGAATGCCTGTGTTACACCTAAACATACTGCTTTTTCTGTGATTTCAGATGCATTCACAGTTCTTGCTGTCTGACTCCCACCCTGTTAACATGAGTCACAGGCACTGGAAAGGGAGCAAACCATCCTCCATGGTTAGTGAACCTGCAGGAAACTTGGGGCTTCCCTCTAGGGCTTTGGTTTCTTTCGGGTCCAAAGCACCTCCTCCTTCTGCTTTCCAGGAGGAGGCTGCAGACCTCTGAAATGACAACAGTGATAAACCCAGCTGCTTTGACTTAGATGGAGGCCAGAACTTCTACTCCTTGTAGTGCTATGATAATAATAAGTAGTGACCACAGCTTACAGAAGAGAAACCAGAGAAAGATGTTTAAATCAGTAAAGCAGACTGTGCTTATTTAGATTTCACACAAGTTTGCTGCAATATGAGGAACTGTTGCTTGAGAGCATGCCCCAAAGCAGCTCAGAAAGGCTTTTTGCTTACTACGTTGGATAATATATTGAAAGCTATATATATTGTACATATTATTAAATAATTCAGCCACATTCAGCATTTGGAAGATGAAATAACGATGTCATTTCTGCGGCCTTTTTTGCTCCTTAGGAAATCTCTGTGCTTCCATTATACATGCTGTCAGCAGGAACGAAATGAATGCCATGCCGTATGTCTGTTTATACCACATACTCTCAACACATGGCAAAGAGAATATGCACAACCAATCAAAATGCTCTCATACTAAAGCGATCATGATCCTAAGTACCATCAAACTGTTGGCATCAATTCATTCAGAAGCTTTCACTGTTTCTTTGTTTTCTCAGTTCAAGGATTTGAGCAATTGCTGTCATTGTAAGAACATTTCTACCCTAAAGCATAGATGGGCCATGCAGCTAATTGACATACTTTAAGCTAACTGGATGAAAATGAAATATGTGATAAGTTCCAAATGAACTGTTTAGCAGAGTCCTGTTGGACTTATCTTTCCATTGTAAGGAAAATAGATTGTAGAACAAGAGAATGGGATATGGAGGGGAACATCAAAAATGGAGTGATTAGCGTAATTGCTTTTCTTTCAACCAGCAGCAGTTCTTACAAATGAAGGATGGGAGAAGCCTTGTTCCTGCAGAAGACGCAGGGAGGAAATGATTTCTGTACATGCAACAAGAGGTTACTTTATAAAACCTTGTACTCATCTACCAATCTTTTTTGAAATTCAGGAAGTACAAATTGTCACAAGCTTCAAACTTGAATATTTTAATGCATCAGGCACCAGCTGCAGAGAGGCATGGAGAAAAAGAGTCAGGAGCAATGGCCAAATCCCTCCATTCCTAATATTGTCCTTCTCTAGGCAATCAGTCCTGGATTGAGAGAGATAGGAGAGGATTCAGCAGGTCACTCTCTTTGGGGATAGAAGCAGCTCTTCTGGTGCTTTTTCTCCACTTCCCATGGGAGAGTGGAGGGGTTACTGGGTAGCCAGTGTTTCTGTGCTCCAATGAGCCTCTCCTGCTTGCTAAGAACTGAGAAACTGCTGCTTTTCATCCAAACATTCGGTAGGGGAACATCCCCAGATGCAGGAACAGTCTTAGATCCATGCAAGCCAGCACAAAAGTAACCCTTGCTAGTGATGCAGTTCTTTCCCAAAGAGCAGAGGGAAAGATGGAGGCCCATGGATGAAGCACACAGACTGCTGGAAGCACCACAGCTCTTGAGCCCAACTGGAGGAATCTAACCTCCAAGATGTTTTAGAGATTGAGGGGAATACTCAGTCATGGCTACAAGGCCTAGAAAGAGGCTTAGAATTAGATAAGAGAGCTGAGAAGCACTTGGCAATTTAAAAAGGAAAAGGTAAATCAAAATAAAAGGTAAATCAAAATCACTTCAAATAAAGCTGAATGGCAGAGCTGGGAAAAGTAAGGCTGCTGTTGCTCAGTGAAAGCAAGTGGAAGAAAAGAGAGCTTTGCCTCTTTCATTCCCATGTACAACAGGAGGCAGGGTTTGACAGTGCCCATGTTTGACCGCTGGCAGTCTGGAAAGGCATCTGCGGTGCTGCTCATATGGAGATTCATCCACAGGGCAAATACAAGGAGAAGCTGGTGTTTCTTTAATCATAGCTGGTGGGCTACTAACACCCTTGCAAATCTGCCTGTCTAATCTCCTCTTGCACAGGAACAGCCGCTGGTTGTACAGACCCCCAGGACCTCAGAGGGTCCAAACCCTTCTGTGGGGAAATGCAGTAGTCTGGACTGTGAAATTATGGGAAGGACCTGAAGCCCTTGCTCTGCTCCCGTTTTAGACACCTGTAGGCAGAAAAAGGATTATCCTTCACAGCGCATCATAGGACAAGCTGATGCCAACTCGGGTTTTATAAATCACAAGACTTTTAGATATGTCTCCTGTGTACCTTTGAGATAAACAGAAGCAAAAAAACCCAGCACAGGCATTTCTCTGCCACCTACCTTATCGACTTGCTTGGAAGTCCATTCCGTGTTCATATGAAAGCCTGATGTGTGGTACTGGCTTTAGCATCCTATAGCTGCCTTCTGAGGATGATGCGGCCGGCTCCTGTTTCCTCAGGGTTATCACTGACCCATGCTATATGTTTGCTGCCTAAATTGTTTTGCTTGCAGGATAACTGCAGCTGCACACACTTCCATGAGGAGGTTTTCCATGATCCATGTAGCAGACTCATTTACCTACTCCAACCCCATTTAACATCCCTTCAGCAGCTATTTACTCGCTATGAGAAATAAACTCAGTGGGAAGGTTTTCTTTTCAAGCCTCCATACTTTTCCTCTAAGCAAATCCTGATCTCTTTGCAGATTTATTTTATTTAAATCTGAGAGAGGGAAAAAAATGCCTTAAATATTATTGATAATTTCATTTCAAGTGCAGATGAAAATCAGGGGGGGAATTTACCTGCAGGTTTCAAAGGTACATAGATGTATGTGTTCCAGTGTACAGAACAGCAGAACAAATTGTAGTAGAAACAAGTACCTTGAAAAACTTTGTATTTATCGTAAAGCTGAAGGTCTAATTAATCCCCAAATTCAAAGCCATGTTCCTTCGCATCAGAGGATGTAAACTCTCAAAACCAAATCCAGGGATTATGTCCTTAGTTCAAAGGACAGTGAAAGAGGCAATTTATTCTCTTTCTTCTTTTTCTTTTCCCTAGGCATGGTTTGAAGCACAACTGTCAAACCTTTGTTAGCCAGCATCAACCAGTTGGTACCTAAGAGAAGCTGGAAATTTGCTTGATTTAAAAGCTGCTTGTTAGATCCTCCTGATACTCAACCCCCCTCCTGATTAAATCTGAAGAAATATGATAGCTTTTCCCTGCTTGAGCCTTGGGTTTCTTTTCTCTTTGCACGTTCCAGTTTAACAATCTGAATAAAACCATGGTTGTATCAAAAGCCAGTTTCATTTTCCACACTAAAGCTCTTTGGTGAGCTCCAAGCCACCAAGTTAAGGATTTTTTCAGCCTTTTAACTCCTTTAAATACGTGGCTTCAATTGTGAAGTGTAATGGGCTGACCCTGGCTGGTGGCTAGGTCTGCACTTGCTCAGCTCCCCCAGAGGGCTGGAAGAGAGATTCAGAAGGGCAAAAGAGAGAGGAAAACTCATGGGTTAAGATTAAGACAGCTCAATAAGTGAAGGGGGGAGAAAGGAAAGGAAAGGAGAAATGGATTAAGTGCTGCAGAAGTAACCGTCACTCATTGATCATGCCAAATCTGCCTCTGAGGAGCTGGAAAGATTCCCCCCACAGTTTTACTGCTGAGCATGGTGATATATGGTATGGAATATCCTTTTGGTTGCTTCCTAGAGGGGCTAACTGGAAAAACAGAGAAGGCCTTTGTGCTATGCAAGCATAGCTCAGCAAGAGCTGGAGCATTGGTGTCTTATCCACGCTGGTTTGGTCACTAATCTAAAACACAGCACTGTATGGACTGTGATGGAGAAAATGAAATCCATCCCAGCCAGACCCAGCACAGAAAGGAAAAATGCAATTTTGAAACAAACAGAAAATGCAACAAAATAAGAATAATTTAAAAGTTAAATCTTTTGTTGGGGGTTCTGTGTGTGTAAAGTGTGTTCATGCTGTGGTTTACCCCAGCTGCAGCTAAGTACCACAAAGCCACTTACCTCCCTGCCTCCACTGAGATGAGGAGGAGAACTGGAAGAAAAGTAAAAACCCATGGGTTGAGACAAGAACAGTTTAATAACTGAAATAAACCAGAATAAAAATAGTAAAATTATAATAATAACAATAATAATAGGAAATAAAGTGAGGGAGAGAGGGAAGAATAAACCCCACCCGCCCCAAAACCACCAAGTGATGCACAGTACAATTGCTCACCCCACACTGACTGATGCCCAGCTTGTCCCCAAGCAGCAACCAGGTTCTTCCAACCACCAACCCCCTCAGTTTCTCTACTGAACATGATGCTGTATGGGATGGAATAGCCCTTTGGCTGCTTTGGGTCAGGTGTCCTGGTTCTGCTTCCTCCCGGCTTCTTGTGTCCCTCCTCACTGGCAGAGCCTGAGGCACTGAAGAGTCCTTGGTCAGGGTGAGTGCTACTGAGCATCAGCTAAACCATCGGTGTGTTATCAGTGCTGCTCTCAGGCTAAAGCCAAAACACAGCCCTGCACCAGCTGCTGGGAAGGGAATTAATTTTATCCCAGCCCAAACCAGGGCTGTTCACAAAGCTTTTCTGGAATGTAGGTTTATCTAGAAAAGAACCCCAAACTTTCTGGGGTGCAGTTTTCACCTGAACCAATGGACC